CATGGGGCGCAAACGGTCGTGGAACCCTCCTGGCGCTGCAGGCGGGGAGCTGCGCAGGGCGAGCCAGCGTGCCGTGAGCAGGACCGGACTCGGTGGAAGGAGGCGCGCGGAGCCACACGCCAGGGGCGCCCTGCACCCGGCTCGCCCGCGACCCACCGCGTCGTCCACCGCGCCTCGCAGTCCTGCGGTGCTCCACCGTGGCCCCCCGCGACCTCCTCTAGCCGCGCAGGAGGCCGCCGGGAGGCCCCCTAAGAAGACTGCCGGGCAGCCACGGGCGGCTCACGGTCGAATTCGAGTAGTGGCGAAGCGTCCCGGCTCGCCTATAGCCCCACCAAACAATGTTCTAAGAACTTTTTCTGGTTTCCACGACATGTTCTTAGAACATTTCTGGCGGAGAGTGTCTTGATTGAGCACATGGGGTTTATGATCTAAGAACATTGCTTTTGGTATCAGAACATTTTTGTGTTCTCAGAACATTTCGTGGTAGGACTATAGAAATGCCGGGACGGTCGGTCCCTGCTCAACCATGCGGCGCGAGCACGCGGGGCGTTGCTCGGCCTGGCCTGGCCTGGAGCGTGCTCGGGGCAGCTGCGGCCTCGGGACAGGAGGGATCCGTACTGAGCGTGGGGGGGGGGCATGTGTGGGGGGGTACCCTTCCACGTGTCGGGGTTTCTTAACAACCGTGAGGCTCGAGGGTCGAGGATAGCACAGTCGACCCGCACATCAAGGATGAGCGACGTTCCACGGGTACTTTGGGTGTCTTACTATGCGTGGGGGGTCCCCCCCCGACGCCGTTCAACCTCTCGCCTCGTCGTCGCGCCGTGACGGAGGTCGGAGCGCCTTCGGCGCGCGATGGCTGCCCGCGACGGGGGTCGATGTGGGGCTGTCGGCGGGGGTGACGCCCCCCCGAAGCTTATTAAGAAACTCAGGGTAGTTTTTGTTTGGTTGGTCCTCCCTGCTTCCACTCCTCTCTCCTCTCCTCCCAACCCTCTCCCGAGCGTCGATCAAAAGAGGAGGATCCCAAATGTCGGTCGGCCCCCCATCAGATATGAGTCGCCTCTCGGGGCCCTCTTGGGTTCTCCAAGGGCCATCTCGGAGCCCTCTTGGGCCCCAATTGAGGCCCTCTCAGGACATCTCATCTTGAGGTTCTCATGCGCCCATCCTCCGCAACGAAATGCGTATCCCGACCCTGGCCCATGGGGAAGCATCTCGCAGGTTGCGCAGCTTTTTTTGGGGGGGGGGGAGGCGCGCGCGCGCGCGCCCTCGGGCTCTCAATCGCTGGCGCACCTCCTTGGGGGAGGCTGCCGCTCGCCGAGCGGATGGTTTGGTTTTTTGCTTGGGGCTGGGGCTCGTCATTCTGCTGGGGAGCGCGGCGCCAGCACGCGGTTGTTGGCCCTGGCGCGATTGCGGGCACGGCGGGCGACGTGGAACGCGTTCGGGGATGACTGTTTGCACGTCGTGTGCTCGTCTGTTTCGCCTCGCGAGAGGCTTCCTGGGGGCGCGCCAGGGCGCGACCTGCCTCGGCGCGTTGGCGTTCACGGGTCCGTGGGGGCCGGGGGTTGTGTGGTTCGGGGACGGCTGCTTCAGTCCCGCTGGGTCTAAAAAAGTCATCCCCAAACCGCTGCGTGCCCATACGCTCGGGGGTGAGTTCAGACAATTTGTGAGGTCCCCATCTCGGCGGTTTTCCCCTGGAAGTTTGCTGCGCGGGCTGATCTCCTCCCGTAGGATTTGCGTGATCGCTAATGTTATTTGTTATTTGATCGCAACGCGCGCAAGCAACGCGCGCAACTTTGCATTGTCTCTTGGGTGAAGCGATCCCGCATAGCCAGACGTCGGCCGCAATGTTGATGGAGTGGCTTTGCCATCCTTGAGGCATGATGGAGGCCTATATTGGATGGTATGAAGCTATCTTGAGCCGTCTTGGAGCATCGGGGGCCCTCTTGGAGCCATCTGAGGCCCAAGAGGTCCGTCTGCCACCTCGCGCCCCCCTCCAAAGAAAAAAGACCCAGAGACCCAGGGGAGGTGGTAAGGGCAGGGAGGGGAAACCCGCTCTCCGACGGGGAAAACGGGGTTTGGAAGCGGGTTGAACGAACCCACAGCGCAAGCCCAGAAGGTTGTTGGGATTTCCCATCTTGCTTCCCTTCCCTTTCCTCTTCTAGTCCTCCTCATCCGACCTACTCCCCACTTCTCACTCGGGCCTCCATCCTACCATCCGTCCTTCCTGCTCTCCTCCCTCTTCCTTTCCCCCTCCCTCCCCACTCCTCATGTCGCGGCGCGAATGGGCCCATTCCGTGCCATTCCCTCCCCCTTGCTCATCCGCCTCCCGCCTTCTCCTCCTCCTCCTCCTCCTCCTCTTCCCTCTTCTCTTCCTTCTTCTCTTCCTCGTTCTCGGCCTCCTCCTCCTCTCTCACTCCCTCTCGCCTCGCTCCTCCCTCCTCCTCCCGTCCCAGTCCTCCTCCCACGGGGTTGAAAGGAGAAGCTCGACAAGCTGGTGACAGCCGCGGCCGAGTACAGCGACGACATCGCCAAGACCCACAAGGAGTGTGTCCTCCTGCTGTACCTTTCCTCAGCCTCGCCCTCCTTCTCGCCCGCTTCCTCCTCACTCTCTCATTTCCTTGCACTCGGGAGGATCGTTTCTTGCTAGGCCGGCGTGCAGGGCAGTCTGTTAAAGCGGCGGTGATCTGTGTTGGGATTTTGCTGCCGCGCATCCGAAGACAGCGTCGGACCATTCGTTTGCGCCTCCTTCGCTGCGTCTCGGGATCATGGCGGTCCTTTTTGGGGGGGGGGGCTCCGGAGGCCTCCGGGGCTCTTGGGACGTCCATTCCCTCCTACGAGGGAAACCCATGCTGAGAAATGCCCTGCTTGCCTCCGGGGTGCCCTGGGCTTGTTGGGTGCCGATGCTTTCGATATGGAAGGCGTGATGCTCCACACCAAAAATCAAGGGACGTCCTTGGGTATCCTGGTTGGGCTTCTTGTGGCAGGTTTGTGATCGTTGTTTGATTGATTGTGTTGCCGATCGGCGCGGGCCATCGCACCCCCCCTTCCCCCCCATGGAGTAGATCTTGGCTGTTTTTTGGGGCGCCTGTTTCGGGCAGGTGGGGGTTCCTCCGTAGGACGCGCTGCTGCAAACAGTCGCATTCAGCAGAGGTACCCCTCAGAATCGGCGCTGAGGTACCCCTGGTCCAGAACTTGGTTAATCTGATGTCATCCCGCCCAATCCGGCTCAGTCCAGCGTCTCCAGGGCTTAATCTAGATAGATCGCGGGCTCAGGCCGGCCTATTCTGGCTTTGGCTCAATGGCCCTTTGGTCGGGCTGAATAGCCCTCCGTCGTTCTGCCGAAGACCTCCCAGGAGTTGCCTTCTAAGCTCCGCCTCTTCCTCTCTCCTCCTCCTCCTGACCTCCTCCTCCTGACCTCCTCCTCCTCCTGCTCACTCCTCGGTATCCAGTCCTCCTCCTCCTCCTCGTTCCTCCTCCTCTCCTCTTCTCTGCCTGTCCTCTTGCTGGCTGGCGCCGGCGCCGCCCAGGAGATCGGCGAGGGCCTCGAGGAGTACCACTCGGCGAAGGCGGGGTACGACGCGCAGGAGCCGCGGGGCTCCGCTCGTTCCCCCCTTCCCATTAGGGGGAGGGAAGGGCGGCACCACCACCACCACCACCATAACTAGGGGAACAACAAGTGGCATAAACACACCACCACCACCACCACCACCACCACCACCACCACCACCACCACCACCACCACCAAGGGAGCCACCTCCAGCGTGAAGTCGGGCGTGTTCCTCCACATGGTGGAAAATTCAAAAATAGTAAAAACAATTTCTGGTGACGAGTTGTGTTCCGTATGTTTTGACATGTCGGTGCATGTTCTGTGTATTTTTAATTTTTCGCTCGAAATCCGCCTGTAGGGGGACATGCCCAACCGAACTCCTGCGAGAAGGTCCACGAGGCCTCCCCTGGAGCGCCGAGATAGGACTCCAGGCAACAACCAGGTTCGCGAGAAGGAGCAGGCCTCCTCGGAAGTCGGCGGGGCTTCTCCGAAGCTTCCCGGGTGTTCGTAGCTTTTCGTCCTCGCCGTGGCCGTCGCCGTGGGCATCCTTCGTCGTTCCCGTTCTCGTGCAAGGTGCCGTCTTGAGGTAACAGAGTGGCCATCTTGACGGCCCTGGTGGTCTGCCCGGGAGACGGGCTGTCATGGAAGCCACATTGGGCGTCTTGGATACCATGGAGAGCGTTGGAGTTAAGTCGGGCACGTCCCTCTACAGGAGCAATATTCAAAAATAGTAAAAAATAGTCGGGGGACGATGTTTCAACTATTTGTAACTACTTTGGGATATGTTGCAAGTGATTATTTTTTTTCGCCCAAAATCCACCTATAGGAGGACATGACCGACCTAACCCTCGGGAGAGGTGGGCGGTGCACGCGGGAAAGCGTTGCCGCGGGGGGGTTGTTTGTTAAGAGCACCGAAATCCGATCACCGAAATCCGATCGAAGAGGTCTGCGGCGAATCACCGCCGCCCCCCCCTGCCTTTTGGAGTCGCCCATGTGGCCGAGTGTTTTGGCAAAAGCTCTGCCAAGCTATCGGACCATGTGTGTCCCCCAGCCGTTGTGGGAACCCTTCGGGACACATTTGGGGGAGGATGGCGGGGAAGAGGAGGGAGGAGGAGGAGGAAGAAGGGGAGGAGGAAGAGGAAGAGGAGGAAGAGGAGGAAGAATAGGAGGAGGAGTAGGAGGAGGAGGAGGAGGAGGAGGAGGAGAAGGAGGAGGGGACATCTTGGCAGCCTCCAGGGGCACTCTTGGGGCCTCCTGGGCCTTCTTGGGGTGCTCCAGGGTCGTCTTGGATGCCGTCTGGGGCGTCTTGGAAGCCTATTGGGCCGTCTTGGAGCTCCTTGGGGCCGTCTTGGGGGCCTCTTGGGCCGTTCGGGAGCTATCTTGGAGGCCTCTTGGACCGTCTTGGGACGATCTTTGGGGGCTTTGGGGCTGTCTCGGGCCGTCGGAAGGCCGAACATAAGCAAATGCCACAATCCTTCAAAACCCTGGGGAAAGACAATGATGTTGGCCTCCTCGGGCCATCCTGAAAGCCCTCTTGGAGTCCTCTTTAGCCGTCTTTGATGCCTCTTCGGGACTTCTTGGGCCGTCTGCCGTCATCTTGAGACCGTCTCGGGCCGTGTTGGAGGCTTTTTGGGCGAACTTGGAGGCATCTTGGACTCTTTTGGGCCGTCTTCGAGGCCATCCTGGACCATCTTAGGCGAACTTGGAGGCCGTCTTGGAGGCCGTCTTGGGCCATCTTGGAGCCATCTGGACCCGGACAATGTTTGCGACCACCTCTTCCAGGTGGCCGACGGGGCGGGTCGAAGCCCTTGGGGAGAGTTCTTTTGCCAAAAATCAAGATCCAAATCAGGAGGGTCTAGCACGCCGGGCACCCTTGTGGCAAGCCAACAGGGGGCGGCGGGTACTTGTGGCCTTCGGCCCATCCCGCCACCGTGCCTGGTTTGTGGGTTGAAGGCCTCTTTTGGATGTTCGTCTGGATATCGTGGGAGGCCTCTCGGGGGCCCCTTGGAGGCAGTTTTGAGACCTCTTGGGGGCCGCTTGGGGGCCTCGTGGGGCTTCTTTTCGGGCTTCTAAAGGGCCTCGTGGGGCCTCTAGGGGGCCTCTGGGCTATCTGGAGGGCCTCCTGCGGGCCTCGTGGGGCGGAAGGCTCGAATTGTCGGATCGTGTTCCCCGTCTTGGGGCCCTCTTCGGCGATCTTGAGCGCCTCTTGGGCCGTTTGGGGGCCGTCGTTTACCGTCTTGGGGCCCTCTTGGGGGCCTCTTGGGCTGTTCTGGGGCGGTCTTGGGGGTCTCTGGGGTCAGAAGACGCGACAAAAAACAAGGAATATCGACTTGTGACTCTGTGGGCCCTCGTGGGGGTCCTCTTGGAGCGCTCTTGGGGCTTCTTTGAGGCCTCTTGGGCCGTCTTGGGGCCATCTTGGGCGTCTTGGAGCGCTATTGGCTGCCTTGGAGGCCTCTTGCAGCCTCTTGGGCGCTTTCTGGGGCCCTCTTAGCCCGTCTCGGGGACCTCTGGCCTTTGGAAAAGTCATGCGAGGAAGCCCGGGAACGCCCAGGATATGAGCGCATTTGGGCCCCAGCCCTTGGAATATTATAGTCCCAGAGTCCTGAGCACAGAGAGCAGAGGACACATCAGGACCTAGAGAACACTCCACTTCGCGCTCCGCGGCACGGTGGATCGGATTCTTACACCTCTGCGGCAGGGCCCCGTGGCATGTCGGCGCGGCAGCGGCCCCGCCGAGGGCGTTCCAGGTGGAGCGCCGCCACTGGCCCAGACCCTCCCTCCCTCCCTCCCTCCCTCCCTCCCTCCCTCCCTCCCTCCCTCCCTCCCTCCCCTGCAAGACGGGATGATCGGGCCATCGGAAAACCGTTCAAGGTCGAACGGTCCAGATGTCAGAAGCCAGCGCCAGGATCGTCACAACACGAATTTGCCGTACGTGAGCGACCATGGGTGTACAGTGGGGACCCTTGCCAAGAAACGCCCTGCTTGCCTTCGGCGTGCCCTGGGTTTCTTGGCTCTCGATGATTTGTTTGTGTTGCGGACAGCGCTACGTTCCCACACCGGAAATCGAGGGACGCCCTGGGGTCTCAGGGTTGGGCTCCTTGTGGAAGGCTTATTGCAGTTCCTGGCCTCCACTGTATCGTAAGGATCGGGGGTGGACATACCTCCTACCCTAACACGTCGATTAAGGAATTGGCCGTTTTCGGTTCGCGAGGAGATTGTTTTTTTATCCTCTGGGGGGTAACGCTCGTTACCCGGGCCTCTCCCCCCCCCCCCCCCCGTAACGGTAACGCTCGTACGCGGGGGGGGTCTCGGTCTTCCCCTCCAACATGCTGGTGCCCGAAGGCATGCGCACTGTGGTGTGGTGGTCGCAGGCGCACTGTGGGCGCTCGCAGGCCATTGCGGCGCTCGCATGCGCGATGCTGGTGCTTGCGGGCTTTGCGCTTGTACTCGAATCGTCGTCGTCGTCGTCGTCGTCGTCGTCGTCGTCGTCGTCGTCGTCGTCGTCGTCGTCGACGGCGCCCGAAAACGGCCTCCGGAGGCCGAAACAGGCGGCAAACGTCGTCGTCGTCGTCGTCGACCTCGTCGCTCGTCGCTCGTCGATCATCGTCGTCGCGCGCGCGGGCGCGGGCGTGGTGCCGGGACCACGCGGCGGGCTTTGCGCTTGTACTCGAATCGCAAGCCACTGTGGTGCTCTCAGGCAGAGAGTGCTGCTCGCGCGCATACTATGGCGATCGCAGAGCGCCCCTGCTTCGCCATACCCCGCCCAGCCCAAGCGTTACCGTTACCCGGGGGGCACGACCCCCCCCCCCCCCCCGGGTAACGAGCGTTACCGGCCGGAATAAAAAAATGATCTCGAGAGGGCGTCGCGGCCGTCATTTGGCGGTTCCAGGTCCGTCGGTTTCGGTCCCAGGCCGATTTCATTAAGGGGAGGTCTACTAAAGGGAGGTTTGTCCAGCGCCGAAAGGAAGCCAGTGGACGACGACGAGACCCGACGACGAGCCTGGAGCCTCCCCGCCGACACCGAGCAGTGGCGGCGGAGGGGCCGCGGGCGGCCCGGCCGGCCGCCCAGCGCGAGGACCCAGAGGAGCGCCGCCGGAGCTTCTCGACGAAGCTGGAGGCTCGACGCGCGGCGTCGTCGTCCTCTCACCGTCCTCCTCCTCCTCCTCCTCTCCTCCCTCCTCCTCCTCCTCCTCCTCCCTCCTCCTCCTCCTCCTCCTCCTCCTCCTCTCATCCTCCTCGTCCCCCCTCTCACTCCTCCCTCCTCTCCTCCTCCTCCCTCTCCTCCTCCCCTCTCTCCTCCTCTCCTCCCCTCCTCCTCCTCATCCTCCTCCTCCTCCTCCTCCTCCTCCCTCCTCCTCCTCCTCCTCCTCCTCCTCCTCCTCCTCCTCCTCCTCCTCCTCCTCCTCCTCCTCCTCCTCCTCCTCCCTCGCCTACTCTTCGACCTCGTCCCCCCCCTCCTCCTCGATCCTCGAACCACGACGCGCGGAGGGACGAAGGCGAGGAAAGCCAGCCCGCCCGCCCTCCCGACCGAGCCAGCCCAACCCAACCCGAAGGTACCGATTTGCGCTCTATTTCAAGGGGGGGGGGGAAGTCGGGGAGCACACATGAAGCCCGTACCCCCCCCCCCCAACCTGAATTTCGGATCTTCGGGTTGGGTTGCGGTGGTCTGGTAGGTCGGCATCCTCGCCGTCGTTCGGCGTCACCCCAACATGCTTCTACTGTATGTGCGTCGCCCCCCCAGGGGCGACGCGCGCACCGAGAAATCTTACTATATTGTATGCGTCGTTGCGGGCGCTTCCTGGCCACACCGATCGGGAAACGATATACTACAAGCTGGGTGTACTGCATGTCCGGGTCGGACGCGCGCCTCCAAAGAGGACGTATAGTGTTAGTATGTATCTGTGCGTCCCAGTCGTCTTCGCCACCGCCCTTGGCCGTCGCCTCCGCCCGGTGCGATTCAAATGGGTAGGGGTTCGGGGGCGGCCAGGAGAGGGGATGACGACTACTCGTCGGTGGTTCCAATCTTCTACTTTATGCGCCTTCCTACTTCAATGATCAAGTGGGTTCCCCTGTTCCTTCATCTTCGGGTGGCGGGCGGAAGCCCAATCTACTTCAACGCCATCCTATGTCATGCTTCTGCCCACTTCTGCCGACCGACGGGTATAGGGGGGGGGTGATGTCGTGGCCAGGGCCATGACATCTCCACAGATGTCATGGCGCCTCTTCTTCTCTCAATGCGTCCCCTGGCCTCCCTCTGGGCCGCGCACATGCCTTGGGCCATGATCGGCGAGCCCGCCTCCTTGACGCCCCCCCCTCTTCTTTGGCATCGCTCGGGCACTTGCATGTTTTGCTCGGCGCGGGCCGTAGAGGAGCATCTTGGATAAAGTCGGGCTTGTCCCTCTACCACCACCACCACAGAGCCAAGCATCCTGAAGGACGCGTGGGCAGACGAGTGTGTGATTGGTACCTCCTTGGGAAATCATGTCGATGCAGAAAGAATGTGTGCTCCCAGAGAATAGTGACATGCAGAAAGAGTGTGTGCATGTCCCTCTACTGGAGGAATATTCAAGAATCGTGAAACATAGTGTGGGGACGATGTTTAGAGCATTGTTGTATCATGTTTGAATATGTTTGGGGTAGTCTTACTGTTCGTCGCCCAACGTACGCCTGTAGGTGGACATGCCCGACCTAACTCTGGTCGCCCGCCATCGGTGGCCGCCGCCCGCCGGGTACAGGCGTGCCGCAGGGCATCGCACAGGCCGACGGGGCTAACGACAGGGGGGTAGTGGGCGTTGGAGGGGGGACGCATCGACCTCGGATGGCTGATGCATTCGCGACGTGTCGACGAGGCATCGTTGAGGTCAGGGCGACGTGTCGACAATTTGCAGACGATGCACGGGGCGGTCTTCATCGACGACCTACCAGCGATACACGGGCGACGCATCGGCCACTCCTGTCCTCCCCCTCCTCCTCCTCCTCCTCCTCCTCCTCCGCCTCCTCCTCCTCCTCCTCCTCCTCCTCCTCCTCCTCCTCTCTCCTCCTCCTCCTCCTCCTCCTCCTCCTCCTCCTCCTCCTCCTCCTCCGCCTCCTCCTCCTCCTCCTATGCCTGGCCTCCCCTGTCGTTGCCCCTCACAGGAGCACGTCTCCAGGTCGGTGCGATCAAAACGGGTGTCACAGGAGGAGGAGGGGGAGGAGGAGGAGGAGGAGGAGGAGGAGATGGAGGAGGAGGAGATGGAGGAGATGGAGGAGGAGGAGGAGGAGGAGGAGATGGAGGAGGAGATGGAGGAGGAGGAGGAGGAGGAGGAGATGGAGGAGGAGATGGAGGAGGAGCAGCTGCCGACAGAAGTCCTTGTCCGTTTTGCACCAGACTCGCTGTGTGCGTCGCCGCTGGCTCTGTCGACTTGATGCCACCAGTTGCCTGCCCACCAGCGGCCGCTGCCGATTCTGGACAAGATTCTTGATGGGGCATCGTCTTCACTGTTCCGCACCCATCTCGGGCGTGCATATCCGCCGCCGTCGTCGGGGAAGCGAGGAGGAAGGAGAAGGAGATGGAGAGGGGGAAGGCACGATTTGTGCGTTTGTCCCACCTCTGACATCCTATCCGTCCTTGCCAGCCGTTAGCCATGTAGTTCAGGCCGCTCTGTTCGCAGAGTCGGACGTCGAAGAAGACATGGATCGCGAAAGGGTAATTTTGTTGAAGAGGGCCCCAGTGATCCAGATCATGTCTCTCTTCGGGCGGGGACGCACGTCGATTCGGGAATGCGATAAACGCTGGGTCGAGAACGGTCAGACGGACAGCGGTTTGACTCAACCGACACATGCGCACATCAAAGCGACCCAACCACATGCAGCAAAGCGCTCCACATCAGAGCCACAACGAGGAGGCAGACGCTACATGTTGATGCACTCGCACGGCGATGCAATCGCATTGCCAACCCTGCGGCGATAACGCAGATCCGTTCGCCATCAGTTCTGATCACATTACTCAACACGACATGCGCGTTACAGCGAAACTGCGGCTCGTGTTCATGCAGGAGTGCGACCATCGCCGCGGTAGAAGTGTGTGTCGTTACATGGAAAATCTGGAAATCTTCATACGAGGCAAACCCTAAAGTTGGAACGCAATCCGTGTACATGCAGCAGTCTGGCCAGCGCGGCGGTGAGGGCTTCGCCCCGTGGGACGGAGGCTCAATGCGAGTCTTTCTCTGTGGCAAGCGCTGCAACGGGAGCCTAGTTGGTCATGAGTCCAGACAGCGCCGTTGTAAGAGCGTCGTTCCACTAGGCGGGAGGTCAACGGACATTCAGAAGAATGGCAACCGCCTCAACCGCAGGACCACCTCTTTTGGTACAAGAGTCCGACCAGCGATGCGGCGGCGATAGCGACATTCCGTTGGACACAGGCTTCATGGGAATCCTTAAAGTATGGTCAGCGTTTCAGCCAGAACATGTTTTCTATGGGGCGAGAGCGGTCTGACTGGAAGATGCCATATCGAACATCACAGTTGGGCAATTCTGAGTGTGACAGGGAACACACGGGATAGGCGTATTTGAATAAAGACAGCACTTGGGGAGAGCGAAGATCAGTACCCATCTTGTTCAATTGCGGAGGGATGGGTGCCGATGAGGAGAATACCGTACCCCGTTTACTACGTGGGGTTCGGCGGCAGATGCGGGGTCAAAGGCAGTGGCGGGGTATACGCACGAATCTGCGGCGCTTTCACGGGGCACCTTACGCACTTGCACCGCACGAATCGCGCACCCTTTAATAATTCGTAGATGACGTCGGAGCCCTAAGGAAGAGGGGGAGGACGGAGGAGGAGACGGGAGGAGGATGGAGGATCAATAGAGCAGATAAGAGCCTCGGGCACGCGGTGGTAGTTGCGGGCTTCTCTCTCCTTCGACAGCATCCCCGCTGCGCGAGTCGCATGTCCAACCCACACGGCTCTGTGCCTCCAACGCTCGCAGGGGTTCCGGCCAAGGGCGCCGCCCGTCCCACCAGTTCCCTCGGGAGGGGGGACGCATTCTGCCACCACACCCGCGGAGAGGGGCCAGAGCAGGTGGCAGGAGCTGTGGCGATGGGCACGTGCATAGTGTACATGTGTGCACATGGAGCAGTGTGCAACTGTAGATCCATCTGCGTGCATACGGCCGCATTCGCGGGGCGTCCAGGTCGCTGGAGCGACGGAAGAAGAACGGTGGTCGATGGCGTCGCTCGCAAGCGCCCTCTTCTCCGCGCGTTGTGCCACGCTGGTGGCCCGCGTAGGCTTCAGTTGGGCCTGTCCCTCCACAGGAGGAGTATTCCAAATTAGTCAAAAAATAGTCTGAGGACGATGTTTTGAGGATTTTTGAATAGTTTGGGGTATCCATGAAGTTGTTTTAGTAGTTCGTCCAACAGCGCCTGTAGGAGCACAAGCCACGGCATAAGGTCGCTATGCTTGTTCGCGTAAGACTTGGCTCGTTTCGTTAATGCCAGCGCAGCGATCAAGCCAGGCATCCTGCGTGCCAACGCCCTACAACATTCGTAAAAGTTGCACCCCCAGGTCGCGGTGGGCGGTGGCGAGCCTGTTTCTGCCGAGCTGCCGTTGATCTGCTGTTGCTGCCCCGCAGGTCGCAGGGTTGCCCGAGGTAATGTCAGGTGAGGTTATGTGGTCCTGGTCTTTCTACCTCGTCCTACCCAAAAAAAGTCTTTTGATCCCTGACGGTCTGATGCTTCCATTCGGAGGCAGAGTCCTTGGATCTCTTGGCCCCTCCCAGGGGATGACTTTTCTCTTTGATCGTCTCTTACCGTGGATCGCCTCTGTCTTTTCTTTCTGATCGTCTATGGATTCTCTTCTCTCTCCTTGGATCTCCCGAGTCCCGATCGTTTATGACGCTCCCTGGTCCCCGAGACGACCCTCTTGAAGCCGAACGCGGCGAGGAGTTTCCGCTGCGACGTTTTTTCTTGGCGTTCGTCGCTGGCGGGAACCACATTTTTCGGCGGCGAGCGAGGGGGGGAAGTGAGAAGTAGAAGGCCTTCTCGGAAGGCGGCGGGGCTTCTCAGAAGCCCTCCGGCCTTGTGAGGGGTTTTCTGTGCCTTCTGGGAAGGCTTGGAACATTTCTCAGGAGGCCGTCTCCTGCTGAGAAGCCGTCTCCTGCTCACTTCCTCCCCAGGTTCGCCGCCGAATGTTTGGATAGAATTCCTTCGAGGTAGGACTCTGATTTTGCCCTCGTCTGAATTCCAGTTCGAATCGACCAAATCCTGCTTAGTCCCGGTCAATCCGGCTTAAACCCGCTTAACCCCCAATGGGGTTTAATCCTTCTGCTAGCTCTTCTGGCGAAGACCTCCGAGTAGCTGAGCTCTGACACAGTCCTGTCCACGGCCTCGTGGATGCCCCGTGCGGGACGCAGATCCTCGCGACCGCATGTCCACAGCTTTGCGCCATGGAACCCAGGTTACTTCTGAGACGCCAACTTTTTCGTACCGCTTCGCCGCACTGTTCCCCACACCTGCGCTACAGTCAACCCGCATGGTAAGGATGGGCACTCTTCCCAAGAGTAATTATCCTGGCATCCTTGCCTCCTCCGTCCATCCTTGGCCGCTCTCGCTGGCCGCGCCCCGCTTGCAGAGTGTCGGCATGGCCTCCCAAGGCCCTTGCATCATGATCGCGCGTCCTTATGATACGACTGCACGCGTAAGTCACCTGGCGCGTTCCACTACTCGCAAAGTGCCTGCTCGCAAATGTCCGGAAAAACACATGCCTGTATCGATGTAATGTATCGTAGATCCCCCATGGCGGAGCCAGGCCATTTGCGAATAGTTACGCTGCGAGTGGTAGAACGCGCTTGTCTATTGCGAAGGCCTTACGGCCAGGGCCGCCGACCCTGAATGGCGACGACGACGACGACGACGACGACGACGACGACGACGACGACGACGAGCGCTCTCGGTCCGTAGCCATTTTGGCTCAAGGCCATGGCGATCCCGACGACCGCAAGTCCTTCGGGCGCTGTCGAGCGCGAGGGACGCCGCGCCCTGGGCCAGCTTCTTGCTTCGTTTCTTCGATGCAGCGTGGCCAGGCGGATCGCGCGGGGCCAGCAGCCATGTCGGGCGACGGGACTGGAGCGCCGCGGCGCAGGGTGTACTGGGTCTGCCAGTGCAAGGAGTGGAACTGGTGCGACAGGCGGGCGACCTGCAAGTCGTGCGGGAAGGAGGCGCCAGCGTGGGCGAAGCGCCTGCGCGCGGCGCAACTGCCCCAGGCCGACGGGGAAGGCTTCGTCCAGCAGCCCAGAGGGCGTTCGCATCAGCGTGCAGCGCGCCGAGCTGGAGACGCCTCCCGAACAGCCTCGGCCGCCAGCACCGTGCCGAGCAGTGCGCCCAACAGCAGGGGGCGGCCGCGGGGCGGTGTCAAGCCGCCGCCTTGGCGTGAGGAGCGCGGGGAGCAGCCAGAGGAGCCAGCGTCGAGTCTGGAGCGCAGGCTCGAGGAAGCCCAGGCTCGCATCTCCAGCCTCCGCGAGGCGGTCGCCATGGAGGAGACCGGCGAGGCCTTCCAGCGTGAGGCCAGGGCGGCCCTCCTCGCGGCGGAGGCCTCGGCCGAGAGGGCAGAGGCCGAGCTCCGCGAGGCCCAGCGGCTCGGGAGGCCCCCCCACGCCGTCCTCCACGGCGGCGCCAACGCCATGCAGAAGGTCGAGAAGCAGATCGCTGCAACCAGAGCCAAGCGCGAGCAGGCCGTGCAGCGGGCTGACTCCCTCAGGGGGAGGATTGCGGCGATACAGGAAGAGCTGGCCGAGACAGAGTCCGAGGTCGAGGACTTTGACAGCCTGCTCGTCAAGCTCGAGGGGTCGAAGGCCCAGACAGCCCGGCAGGCGCTCCAGCGGGCCATCGAGGTGTGCGGAGGCCAGCAGCCCCTTGAGACCGCAGTCGGGGGCCTCGTCACCCAGGTCAGCCAGCTGGGGGAGATGCTTGGCCGCAACGCGGACGGCGTCGCGCCCAGGCTCCTGGAGATCATGGGCATTATTGCCACGCAGAGCGCAGCCATCTCGGACATGCTCCACCCCGCTGCGCCAGCTGCCGCAGCCTCGCGTTGGGCCGACGGCCTTGGCGGGGACGGGCTCGCCGTCGACGACGAGGAAGGCGCCCCCGCCCCAGCCGCTGGAGCCTCTGCCCCCGCAGTGCAGCGGTCGCCAGCGGAGGCAGCAGGGCAGCAGGTGCGGCCATGCCCGCCCACCCAGCGGGCGAGCCCAGCAGTGGGGCCCTACGGGCCAGCCGCCGCCCGCGGGCAGTCGGGCGCAGCGTGCGGCGCTTGGCCCCAGCCTGGCAAGGCCGAGCGCAGGATCCTTGAGGATGCCAGGGACGAGCACGAGGACGGCCAGGCCCTGGCTTCCCTGGCAGCTGCTGGGGGCTACGCTCCTATGGGCCCTCGCCGTTCCTAGCCGCTCGGCAGCGGCGACAGCCTGGGGACCCGCGCCGCCTCCGCCGCCGCCAGACTGGCCGACCTTGCACCTGGCGCGAGGGGAGCCACGGCGGCAAGGCGGGCCCACTCCTGGGCCGAGGTGCGGTCGGGACCGCCGAGGCGTCCCCCCGACGGCCTCGAGTGGGCAGACGGCGGGAGGATTCAGCCCTCCGACGTCGCAGCCGTCTGCCCCGCCCCATGGGAGTCGCGGAGCCGCCGCCGGGTTCACGCCAGCCGCCCTTGAGGCGAGAGTGGGCAGGGCTGTGCCTGCCTCTGCGAAGGTTGCTGGGCTGCTCCGTGCATGCTTCGACGTGCTGGACGCCTACGGCAACGCATGTGACCGTGCCTTGGAGGTGCTAGAGGCCTACATCACGCGTGGGGACGCGCACCTGATCGCCGAGGACAGGATCCACAAGGCTGGGCCTACGTCCAGTGTGGCATGGGGGCGGACGGTCACTGGTGAAGCTGACGGAGAGTTGCGCGGTGGGCGAGTCACCGCGTGCCCCTGCTCGGGGCGGCGCGCCCGCGGCGCGGCCCTCGGCCTCAGGCTGCGGCGTGCGGAGCCCCGCAGGGCCCTCGACCTGGATCCGCCCATGCTGATCACGGACTGCACGCTCCACAGTCTTGCAGGATGGTTGCACTCGGGCGAGCTCCCCCCGCCGATACTCAGAGGAGCACTCGAGGCTACAGCGCCGCGGCAGGCGTCAGCAGCCGAGCCCTGGGCGCACCGCGACTTCCCCGTGGATGCAGCTGTCCTCACCCTGGGCAGTTTCGGCTGGCACTTCAGGTCCGAGCGGGGCCTCATCACGGACGTGCGGGACATGACGCTGACGGGGCGGCGTGAGCTCGGCCCAGAGGCCAGCCTAGGGGCGAGGTGCGCCTCGGGTTGGCTGGAGCTGCGGAAGCTGGCCAGTGCCCCGTCTGGGTGTGGCTCCGCCTTTTGGGTTGCCTGCAGGGAGCTCGTCGGGCCAGGAGGCGAGCTCGGCGAGCGTCAGAGGAGCGGGCTGGTTTCCCACCTCACGAACGCGCATTGGCCGCAGGCTAGGCTCCACAGTAAGTTCGAGTGCCCCATGCTTGCGGCCCCGCTGAGCGACTCAGTCTCGCCAGCGCTGGCGTGGAGCGCCATGCGGGTTCGCCCTCTCGGAGTGGCAGCAGGGGAGGTCGTTGCTCGGCGCTGGTGGTCAGCGACGCCGCCCCAAGGGCCTCGCGCGGACGCCATGAGTTGCTGGAGGACATGCAGGCCGCCCGACGTCAAGCCCAATGGCAAGTTGTGCGTGGACGGCTCGTCGGTCGACCAGCGGCTCTACGCCTGGGGACGCGCGGGCTGGGCTTTTGCTCAATGCGACGACGACGGCAGCCTCGTCGCGGGCGCCTACGTGACCGTCAGGCGGGCCCTCCCGCCGCAGCAGGCTGCCCGTGGCGGTGAGGGCTTCGCGGTCTGGAAGAATGTGATCTACGCGGGCCCTGCTGTCGAGGAGGTCCTCATCGGCGGCCGCGGCGCGGCGAAGAGCCAGCACAGGGAGCTGGCCTATGCGACGGGCCCGACCAATGCCAACGCCCACCCCTGGAGGAGCCCCGCCGCCCTCGGACCTGGTGGCTCCAGGGCGAGCAAGGTGGCCGCCCACGGCAACAGGCAGGCGGTGCTCGGCGGGCTACGCACGGAGGCGCAGTGGTGCGGCGCCCTGCGCGCCCGCGGCTCCGCCGAGCTGGGAGCACGGCTGCGCGCCGAGGCGGCCGTCGCCAGGCGGGACACCGCGGAGAAGGACAGCGACTGCCTCCTCGTGTCCGACGAGAGGCAGTGGGCGAGGTTCGCCGACCTGGAGGAGCAGGCCGAGCAGGCCACTGCAGGCAGGCCGACGGAGCAGCAGCCGCGCGTGGAGAGCTTCCGCTCGGCGGCCAGCGCGGTCGGCCTCTCCTTCACCACGGCTGGCGCAGGCCACCTCGGCCACTCCCTGGCGTACGCGCTCTGCGACGCGGGCGAGGAGTTTCAGGAGCTGGTGGCATGCAGCAGGTGCGGCGCCTACATGGTCCTCGGCGGCCGCGCTGGGGGCCGCCCTAAGCTCAAGGAGCCATGCATCGGGGCAAGGGCCATCGGGCAGCGCAGCCAGCGCCGCCTCTGGGCTCGAGGGCTTCATCCAGGTGGTCGGCCACGCGGAGGAGTCCAGCAGCGCATGGAGAAAGGTGCCGAGTTCCCTGCGCTGGGGCTGCAGGGGCCTCTGGCCCCGTCGGCCCAGGAGGCGTTCCTGGCCTGGCTGGGCATCGTGGTCGAAGAGGGCCCCCCGCCAGCAGGCGGCAGATCAGCGGCGGCGCCTGGGCATGCAGGCGGCCGCGAGCAGGGGCCAACGTCGCGGCCGACGGCGGCGGCGCAGCAGGTGTTGGCGGGCGTCGACCCGCGGGTCGCCATGCTGGCCGCGTGCGGCCCGATCGAGCAGTGCCTCGCCGAGCGGGCGCTGGCCGCCAGCTCCACCGCGGAGGACCGCCGCGTCCGCCCGCGGCGCGGCCGCGGCCTGAGCCCTGGCGGCGTGTGCTCGGGCGAGTAGCCCGCTCGCCTGGATTGCCTTCATGGCCCCGCGAATCGAATCGAATCGACGAGCGCTCTCGGGTGCCTCTTGGAGGTAGTTTGGGGGCCACTTTCGAGTAGTTACTTCTGCGAGTCGTGGATCGCGCGTGTCTGGCACGAGTGGCCCTGCGCCGGAGTCACCTCTGCTCCCAGTCCCCCGACGTAATGATGTTTTCGTTACGTCGACCCCCAGAGGTCCCGACCCTTTCCCCGCGACCCGCTTTGCATGCTGAGTCGCTCTTTGACGCTCCCGAGGCCCGGTGAGGGCCCCCGAGGGCCGAAAATTAAAGCAAAACCTTCCAATCAATCAATCAATCAATCAAGCAATAACGCCGTGTCTGCACGACACATCGGCTGAAGAAGTGCCGCTGGCTGGAGGCGCATGTCCAGACCAGGGCACAGAAGCCAAGGACAGCTCAAGGAAAGATGTACCTGCTGGCGATTGTCCTCCACAAAACCTTCCGTCGTGAATTCTTCATCACTTCGGGGGAGCGTAAGACCCGGGTTTGCCAGGACTCGGGTTCGCCATCGTTTTTTGACGACCGCGCCTCGGATTTTGACGAGGAGGAGTTTCGTGGGATGTCTGCAGCGGGAGGCCTCGTCAAAATGCAGGCTCGGCCTCTCATTTTTTTGACGACCTCGTCGGGCCAACCCGAGTCCCCCGTACCCGGGCCTTACGTCTCCCCGATCACTGGAGGGGGTTTTTGGGCTGCGGGCCCACGGAGAGCACCCCCTTTGGTCCCCGAGCGCGGTGCGGTCGCCGCCGCAGCTGCTGCGCGTGGGCCCGGCCTCCCCAACGGGCCCCCCCCGCACGCCGCGCACCACGGTGCACGCCCTGCCCAGGGCCACTCCCTGGACGGGACCGGGACAGACCGTCCAGAGGAGGAGGAGGAGGAGGAGGAGGAGGAGGAGGAGGAGGAGGAGGAGGAGGGGGAGTTGGAGGAGGGGAAGGAGGAGGGGGAGGAGGAGGGGGAGCAGGAGGGGGAGGAGGAGGAGGAGGTGGAGGAGTCGGAGGAGTCGGAGGAGGAGGAGGAGGAGGAGGAGGGTGAGGAGGAGGAGGGAGGAGGAGGAGGAGGAGGAGAAGGAGGAGGAGAAGGAGGAGGAGGAGGAGGTTCGGTCCAGAGCGTTCCAGGGTGCTCTCAGATCGTCCGGGAACGCTCCGGGATGGCCGCGGCGCCCGCCGGATACACGCTCCAGGACCGCCGGATCTCAGACATCCCCGACGTGCGCATCCCTGTCCGATCTTGCCCCTGCCGTGGCTTCGCCTTCGAAGCTGGGCGCGGGCCACAGTGTTATCTCGGATGGCCTGCCGCTGGAGGTGGCGCCTCGGTGGGGCGCGAGCGGTAGCGGCGCCATCGGCACTGTGCCGGGGGCACCGTGCGGCTTTGAGAGAGTCACGGAAACTGCCGCTCCTCTTGCCTTGAGCGTGCGCCATCGAAAAAAAACATCCAGTAGTGGCGCTTGGCGCGCGCACCGCACAGGGCCGCCTACGATCCGATTCGATGATATTCGACTCGCCGGCTGAGGCCGCGGTTCCAATTCGATGCGATCTGGCTCTATTCACCGGCATCGACCAGGGCCAGACGGACGCAGGGCGCGGCGATTCGATACCCATCGGATGCGGGACGAATTCGCTGGCGATTCGATCCGCTCTCGATCCGATCCGAAATTTCGCGATCCGATCCATCGCAGACCTGCCGCATTCAACCGCCCGCCCGAGGACGAGGCGGAGGAGGCGGAGGCGGAGGCGGAGGAGGTGGAGGAGGAGGAGGAGGAGGAGGAGGAGGAGGAGGAGAAGGAGGAGGAGGCGGAGGCGGAGGCGGAGGCGGAGGAGGAGGAGGAGAGAGGAGGAGAGGCGAGAAACGCGGCGGAGGGCGAGGAGAGAGGAGGCGGAGGCGGAGGAGGAGGGAGGAGTAGGCGGAGCGGAGGCGAGAGGAGGAGGAGGAGGAGGAGGAGGAGGAGAGGATGAGGAGGAGGAGGATGAGGAGGAAGGAGGAACGGAAGGAGGAGGCGGAGGAGGCGGGGAGAGAGGAGGCGGAGCGTAGAGGAGGGGAGGAGGAGAGGAGGAGGAGGAGGAGGAGGAGGAGAGAGGAGGAGAGGAGAGGGAGGCGGAGGGGGAGGAGAGGCGGAGGCGGAGAGGAGGAGAGAGGAGGAGGAGGAGTAGGGAGAGAAGGAGAGGAGGAGGAGGAGGAGAGAAGGAGAGGAGGAGGAGGAGGAGACGGAGGAGGAGGCGGAGGGCGGGGGGGAGGAGGAGGCGGAGGCCGAGGAGGGAATAGGAGGAGGAGGGGAGGAGAGGAGGAGGATGAACGGAGACGGAGCGGAGAGGAGGAGGAGGAGGAGGAGGAGGAGAGGCGAGGAGGCGGAGAATGATGAGGAGGAGAGACGGAGGAGGAGCGGAGGAGGAGGGGAGGAGGAGGAGGAGAGGCGAGGAGGCGGAGGAGGAGGAGGAGGAGGAGGAGGCGGAGGCGGAGGTGAGGAGGAAGAGGCGAGAGGCGAGGTGGAGGAGAGGAGGAGGCGGAGGAGGAGGAGGAGGAGGAGGAGGAGGCGAGAGAGGAGGAGGAGGAGGGGAGGAGGTGAGGAGGAGCAGTAGGGGAGGAGGCGAGGAGGAGAAGGACGGCGTAGGAGGAGAGCGGCGAGGAGGAGGAGGCGACTGAGGAAGGAGAGGAGGCGGAGGAGGAGACGAGGAGGAGGAAGGAGGAGGAGGAGAGGAGGAGTAGGAGGAGGAGGAGTAGCGAGGAGGAGAGGAGGAGGAGGAGGAGGCGGAGGAGGAGGCGGAAGGAGGCGGAGGGGAGGAGGAGGAGGCCGCCCGCCCGCCCGATCGCCCGCAGGGCTCGGGCGCCGACCCCGGCCCTGACCACAAGTGACGCCCTCATGCGGGCCCCGCGGGCCGCGGTTGGGGGGGCGCGCCGCCGGAGCCGCGCCGCGCCGGGCCCGTCGCCGGGGCGAGCAGCGCCCGGCAGGTTGCGCCGCTCAGGGGCTGCGGTCGCCGCGCGGCGACGTCGGCGGCGGCGGTGACTGGGATGATGAGGAGGAGGAGGAGGAGGAGGAGGAGGAGCCGGAGGAGGAGGGCGACGAGGAGGAGGAGGAGGAAGAGGAGGACGACGACGAGAGGGAGGAGTAGGACGAGGAGGAGGAGGAGGAGGAGGACGAGGAGGACGAGGAGGAGGGGACGGGGGCGAGGACGAGGGGCGAGGGGCGAGGAGGGTGATGACGAGGAGGAGGAGGAGGAGGAGGAGGAGGAGGTGGAGGATGATGATGATGATGGGGAGGAGGAGGTCGAGGACGAGGTTGGGGATGCTGATGGGGATGGTGATGCGGTGCTGGTAATGGTGCTGGCGGTGTCGGTGGTGATGATGAGTGTGGTGGTGATGGCGATGATGATGATGATGATGCTGATGATGATGATGATGATGATGATGATGATGATGATGATGATGATGGTGATGGTGATGGTGATGGTGATGGTGATGGTGATGGTGATGGTGATGGTGATGGTGATGGTGATGGTGATGGTGATGGTGATGGTGATGGTGCTGCTAGTGACTAATGGTCATGATTACATTGGTGATGACGAAGGCGATGGTGATGTTGGTGGCGGTGATGCTGTTGCTGATCGTGATGATTATGATGGTGATGGTAGTGGCGATGATACTGTGATCAGTGGTGGTAATGCACGATGCTGATGAGGAGGATGAGGAGGAGGATGATGATGATGATGACGACGATGCTGATGATGCCGAGGTTGATGATGATGATGACGATGATGATGATGATGATGATGATGATGATGATGATCATGATGATGATCATGATGATGATCATGATGGTAATGATGGCGACGGCGACGGCGACGGCGACGGCGACGACGATAATGCTGATGCTCAGCATGGCTATACTGATGGTGAATATTATGATGACACCGGCGGTGATCGTCATGGCCATAGTGATGGTCGATCTGCTGAGCTGATGATGATGTTGGTGATGTCGATGATTATGCTGCTGCCGATGACGATAAGTGTGATGATTCTGATCATGATGATGGTGATGATGCTGAGGATTATGATGAAGATGATGACTATGATGATGAGGATGATGACGACGAGGATGAGGATTACAATGCGGATGTGTCTGATGATAATTATACTTATGCGTATGATGATTATGATGAGTATGAGTATGAGGATGGTGGTGATGATGCTGATCATGATCATGATGATGATTATGATAATGGTGATGATGATGCTGATTATAATGGTTTTGATGATGGTGATGGTAATGGTGATGATAACGGTGGTGATGATGATGATGATGATGATGATGATGATGATGATGATGATGATGATGATGATGATGTTGATGATGTTGATGATGATGGTGATGATGATGCTGATGACCGGTTGCGGCGGCAGCTGCGCTGCGCTCCACCTCCAGGGCCGCTCGCCAGAGGGCAACCGCTCCCGGCAGCCAGGTGGCGGCCAGGACGCTCCCTGGCGGTGCGCGTGCCGCGCGCGCTGGCGCTGCGCCCCGGCCGGTCCATGGCAGATGGGGGCTCGTCAGGGCTCGTTTCGATTCCCCCAACTCGACTCGATTCGATTTCGGTGTGTCTTCCGATTCCGATTCGATTTGAGTTCGGATTCCGCTTGGGATTCCGGTTTCTCAATGGAGGCCTACCAGCCTGCGGAGGTCTGCCGATCCGGCTTTTCCCGACTCGGCTGCCGAGTTCCGTCCATCCGGTTCATGCCGGCTATCGATCCGACTTGCCGATTCGATTCTGTGTTCTCCTGGGTTTGCCAGGGCCAGTCGATGATCCTCAGGACTCGTGTTACAGTCAACCCGCATAGGAAGGTCGAGCGACTTTCCAAGGTTACCCTTGCATTCTCCCCGTCCGGCCCATCCTTGGCCTCTTTCGTTGGCCGCGCCCCGCTCGCAAAGTGTCGACATGGCCTTCCATGGCCCTTGCATCCTTCTCGTGCGTCCTTATTCTACGGGTGGACTGGCGGCTCCGCCGATCAGACGCAGCCTGCGACGGCCCTCACCGCTCCTCACGCGTCGCAGTGAAGGGCCTCGATGGACGAGAGCATGCTGGCGCTAACTCGCTCCCCGAGGACCATCGATGATAGCCTTCCCGCACTCTCGGGATGGGCAACCTGACCAAGGGACCCTTGCATCCTTGCCTCCTCGGTCCATCTTGGCCACGTTCGCTGGCCGCGCCCCGCTCGAAGAGCTTCGCAGTGGGCGTCAGAGGCCCCTGCAACCTTCTCGCGCATCCTTGTGATACGGGCCGACTGCAGGGACGCATCGACCCGCCGATCGCTCCTCCGTCGCCGAGATGGGGCCCGTCGGCCCACCTTCTGGAGGCCCCTGGAAACGAGAGGGTCGTTTTTTCACCGATTCCGTTTTGCCGTTCTTTGTTTGCCGGTCTTTGCGCCGTGTTTTCACCAGCTCCGTCGCTGTTGTTCAGCCAGATCCGGCTCCAGTTCCAGTCCTGGAGCCGTTTTTGCTGCCCTTTTTCAGTCCCCGTGCTGTTTTTTTCTTCAACCTTCAAGCGACACTGTTTCGGAAACGGTGAAACACGGCCGTGCCGTTTCCGGGGCCCACTCAAGGCCCAGCCCGCACAGGACCGTGCCGTTCCGCAGCCGTGGGCCTGTCGGCGGTCTATCGGCGACGTGCCGCCTGTTCCTGGTTCCCCTCCCCGGGGCAAGTTCTTCCTTATCGATCTCTTGTCAGTTCGGCACGCCTCACAAGGGTACGGTCAAGTTTGGCATGTCCTCTACAGGAGGAATGCTCAAAAATAGTCAAAGAATAGTGGTGCCCCATCTCGACCAACCAACCGGCATCTGAGGCTCCACCAACCGGCATCTCGGCGTGATGTGAACAAAAAAATAGTCAAATAATAGTATGGGGACGATTTTTCGACCATTTTTTGAAAATTGTGGTGCATTGTTTGAGTATGTTTTATTTTTCGTCCAAAACCCGCCTGTATGAGGACACGCCCGACCTGAATGTACAGAAATATGGGTACGATGCCCAAAAGCAAATGCTGTCCAGAACCGTCTGCGCCCGCTGTTGTGCAGGCGATCTCCTGTTTCAAACTGGACGACGACGACAGCGGCGACGACGACAGCGGGTCGGGTCCAAACTGGGCAGGAACTGCTGCCGGCTTCCCTTCCCATTCGTCTCTGTGCCTCCCACTTCGACCGTGCCGACCTGGGTGCGCTCCAGACACGGCCAGGGAGGCACGCATGCTGGCCGATCCTGGGCCCCAGAGCGGACTGGGCCAGGGCCGATGTCGGTGCACGGTTCCCGTCGTCCTAGACTACAGTCGGGGCCCTGAAGAAGGAACCTTTTTCGTTGGGGAGGGGCTCCGTGTCCCTTGATTGTTTCACAGCTTGCCTTTGGTTTTTCTTAGGTTTTCGATATGAAATCGAAGTTTAACTTATGGAAAATAGGGGCCTCGTTCCTTATTTAGGGTTCCTTAGGTCAACGCTCCGACTGTATTGGACGGTTGCCTCCCGTGCGGGTTGTGATCCGACTAGGATCACGTTTCTGCGGGTGTTCAGTTGAGTCTCGGGGCCCCGACGGGTGGTTTTTCACGCTGGGAACCTTGGGATGCGGCGTGTGAGTTGCCAGGGTCGAAGATTATGCCTCCCTGATCCATCCTGTGGTCCAGCAGGGATTTCGGAAACGTATTGAAGCCAACGTGTGCCAGGATCAGTGCTTCTCGAGGATACCGGCGGCGGTTTCGGCACGGTACTGTTTACTCCTAGTGATTTTGGTCCATGATCCAGATGAGGAGATTTTGACCCAGCCCAGTCTTTCATTGGGTTCGTGGCTCGTGATCAGATGATGACGAATCACATGAAGACGTTTGATATGCTATACATGATTGTGATGCATGAGGGCAGGAGGTGACGTTGAAGGGGGGAGGCGGCGAAGGAGGGGAAGGAGAGGTGAAGATGATGCTGCGATTGGCGGTTCTGCGAGAAGCGTGTTCGAATAAGTGAGGAGAGGAAGGAGTCAAGGATGACGGGGTGGATGGCGTGCCAGGGTGGGAGGGGGAAAGGGGGGAACGGGAGGCGAAGGGGGAGATTGAGTAAGGGGGGAGGATGGAGGAGGGCGAGGAGGAGGAGGAGCATAGGTAGGAAGAAGGTGGTGACGGCAGCAGGACGAGGAGGATAGGCAGATGGCGCAGAGGGCGGACTCTGTCGCAGGGGTGCGGTGCCAGCGAACGGGCTGGTCGAGCAGGAAGTGACGGGCGAGGCGGGGAGGCGTAGACTGCGCGAAGGGCCGAGGAAAGGGTGCAAGAGGGGATGGGAGCAAGCAAGGTGCGCTCGCGCCATATCTAAGATCCTATCACTCCCTCCCTCCCCCTCCCATGGAGGTTCTTCCTGCATCCTCGGACGCGTGTTGCGGCCGACCCGTGGAGTTCCCCAAACGACCCTGCCGTGTTTCACAGTCGGACACGGGGAAGAGGGGATGGGGGGGGAGATGGCAGGGCAGCGGCGAAGTCGTTCTTTACCTCCTCATAGTGTTCCTGATGATCCTTCCCGTCCTCCATCTCGCGGCACTCCTCGTGGCCCTCTTCATAGCACTCGTCGCCCTTTTCGTCGTAGCTCGCGTAAGCTGCGGCTGGCGCTGCCCGTTCGCAGGCATTCGGAGCAAGCCTGCCGTCTCTCTCTCTGCTTCCCGAGGCGATCACAAAACCCGCCATATTGGCCAAGGGATTGAAGCAGCGACGATCCGGACACCGCTTTCGAAGTTGTTTAGCGGAGTCGAGTTGATAGTCGACGCCCTCCTCTCCCTCGGAGGAGGGAGAGGAGGGCGTGGAGCGATGAGGGAGGGAGAAGAGGGCGAGCGATGAGGAGGGAGAGGAGGGCGTGGAGCGATGAGGGAGGAGGGAGGGCGTGGAGCGATGAGGATAGTCGACGCCCTCCTCTCCCTCGGAGGAGGCAGGCGGAGCGATGCGGGAGGAGAAGCGGGGAGGTACGAGGAGGGCGAGGAGCGAGGAGCGAGGAGCGGGGAGAAGCGAGGAGGGCGAGGAGCGAGGAGCGAGGAGGGGGCGGAGGAGGAGGAGCGAGGAGGAGCGAGGAGGAGCGAGGAGGAGGAGGAGGAGGAGGAGGAGGAGGAGGAGGCCCGCACACAGCCTGGCCCCGCACGCCGCGCCCTCGCCTCCCCCACAGTCTCGCCCGCGCGCGCGCGCCGAGACCCTGCGAGGCCGTGCTCCGCCGGCCCCGGCGTGCCCTCGCGCGCGCGGCTGCGGTCGCATCGGCATGCGGGGCGCGGGCCTGGCCGAGCGCACGCGATGAGCGAGGAGGGGCAGGCCTCCCCCCCCGCGCCCTGGGCAGGGTCGGGCGAGTCCCCGAGGCGCCATGGCGTCGCAATGTGGAGGAGGAGGAGGAGGAGGAGGAGGAGGAGAGGAGGAGGAAGGAGGAGGAGGAGGAGGAGAGAGAGGGGAGGAGGAGAGGAGGAGGAGGGGGAGCGGAGGAGGAGGAGGAGGAGGAGAAAGAGGAGGAGTCGAGCAAGGATAGGGGGAGGAGAAAGAGGAGGAGGAGGAGGAGGAGGAGAAAGAGCCGGAGGAGGAGGGGAAAGAGGATGAGGAGGAGGAGGAGGAGTGGAGTGGAGCAATCGGACGTAGTCCGTTCGGGAAACAAGAGACGCCAGGGAGGGCCATCCAGAATTTCTCGGAGTGGCGTGGGTGGCGACATCCCACGGCACACCGCGACAGGCCCCCCCTGGCCTCACAATTTACTCAGAGGCACCGCTAGGAGCCGCGAGAGACGCAATCGCGGCTTCGGCTGCCGATTCATGCATAGCGGCTAGAACAGACTTGCTGGGACCCGATCTGGACGGATGGAGGCCTCGTCTGATCCTGCTGAGGTTCTCGAGACCTTTGCCAGTGGGTCCCAGGGCCCTGCGCTCTCCCACTTGGTGGGTGAGAGGGCAGGGGTATTGTAAGTTTTTGACCTGGTGTGTGGCCGTATGGCCGCACTTGACACAGAAGAACATTTGCCACTTGGGGATGGCGGCCAACACGTGGGAGGGGTGTATCGCCTTGCCACTGATCACACGGGGGCCCCTCGACCACAGGACCTCACCACACGCGGCAAACTCAGGAAGGGGGCTAGGCGGTACACACTCCGTTGCGGCAGCTGGAATTATCTGGCAAGCGTCGACAATAATGTGACAAAAGGAGCATCGCCATTTATCTACACACCGAACGAATTTGTGCTGAGAATCCGCGATCGCGGTCTGCAACTGGGAACGAGGGGCAGCCTCTTGAGTGGGTTGCCTCTCTGGCCACAGACCTCGTGGCTCTGCATTCTTTCCGAAAGAACGAAGAATTAGGCGTGCCCGCTGGCGGACGATCGCCGCGATAGCATCATATTCATCAGTCCTGGGCACGGGCGGGAGGGCTAGGGTGGCCGACTTGTGGGCCGCGTCTCCCGCGAGCTCGTCGGCTTGCTGGTTACCGAGAGCTAGGAATTTCTGAAAGCCGTGCAGGGTCTGAGGATCGGCGTGGGATGGGGTCCAGAGCACCGTGACCGAGAGAGCACCACGCGGTCGATCCTGCACGAGATGCCGTATTCTCAGCCAGAGATCACCATTCGTATTCTTACCTTTGAGGCTACCTGGCCTGAGACATCTACCATTCTGCCAACCACGCTGCAAGGCTAGGTGGTCGGTGACATAGGTGAAATCCTGATGGCAAGTCTCTAGTGCAAGGCAGAACGCATACAATTCTCCTCTTGGGACGGTCTGGCGGGGGCCTGGGAGGGGAGCAAGGAGGCCCGAGCGGAGGGCCCAGGAGGCCGATGGAGGGTCCCAACGAAGAGCAGCAAGGCCAGAGCCAACGCGACGTCTCCTAACGTCGTCGGAATAGGCTCCGCCAGACCCGTCGCCAAAAATAAACAACTCACCCTCGCCATTACGGGCGCCTTCCCACGTCGGCAAACCATCCCGCACCTCACCAACAAACTCCCACCCGTCCCTCCCAGTCAATGGCTCAAAAGAGGGCGTAGTGAGAGCAGAAGAGGGAAGGCCGCGGAGCCACAAGGCGGGGTCGGCATCGGCCCCCGCTAGGGCTCGCGGCAGTAGCTTGTCGCTGGCCTCAAACTCGGGCCCAACATTCGCATCGCACTGCCACATGCGGTGAAACAGGGTTTCAGGGGCGCGAGCGCAGCAGCGGCCGCAGTTCCTGTCGATCTGGTAGCCTGCGTTGTGGAGGCGGTCTCTGGTCCACTGTCCTCCGCTGATGATGGTGTTGTTGAGGGCCCAATCGCTGAAGTCGCCGTTCGCGAGGAACCTCCTTTGCTCGATAGGGATAGTGACCAGGTCTGCGCCTCCTGCAAGCGTGTCTCCGTGGATGTGTGTAGAGGCCTGCCTCCAGAGGAGTCGGTGTAGATCTTCGCTGAGGTATTGCAATACTGTGTGGATGTCGGCGTCGAGGAGGTCAGGGTCGTCGGCGGAGGGGAGGTTCCACTCCTCGATGTAGCCGTCCTTCGTGCGCCTCCACGTCGTAGCGGATGTCGGCTCCCAACTGGCCTCTAGGAGGGTCGCGATGGCCGCGCCAGTGGGGCCCTTGACCTTGCACCACAGCTTGGGGCCAGCGGCGAGCAGGGTAGTCTTGATCCGTGGCCAGGCTCTGATGATCCTGGCGTGCGTGTTCGGGTGGCGTATCCAATGCTGAAGCCAGGCCCCGAGGAACTCTATCCTCAGGGAGACGCCAGGGTCCATGCCGTCAAAGGTGGCGCCGAGGAGGGAGGTGAGGCAGCGACCCGCGGCAGCGCCCGTCGCAGCTATGGCGGCCCGACGACGCCAGCGGAGGAGAGCGCGCCGAGCGAGGCCGTGAACTTGATGTCCGAATACTCCTTCAGGGAGAGCGCCAGTGCGCCACAGGCCAGCGGAAATTCGGGCCTGCTGTGCAGTGCTCCGTAGTCGATGTATTTTGCGAAACCTGGCGGTGGCCGACTTCTGACGCTTCCTGGCTTTGGCTTGTACTCGTCGAGTAGCCGCGGCGGCGTCCACGCCTAGGTCAACGGCCGTGGACGTCGCAGTAACTGGAATGTCGTACTGTCGCATCTTCTTGGCAAGCAGGTGGCGGACCTTGGGTGTGGAGCCGATGAGGACGGTCTTGTCTGAGATAGGCAACTCGAACTCCTTCAGGCCGTCGCAGAGCGTCCTGGCAGCACGGGGGAGGTGCTTCTGCAACGCCCGTAGGGCACCTTCAACTCGTAGTACAGTGTCGCCCACGAAGGTCCACATCTGGGCAAGCTCTGCCTGAGCTTGAGCATGTCGAAGAATAGGTAACAAAATAAGTCGTGCCAGGGTAGTGCCGTGGGGGGAGCCTGCAATGATGCCCATGGAGGCGAAGATAGGCATGCTCACCCATTGACGACTGCGCAAGAATCTGGGCGCCAGGTAGAGCTGCACCTCCAATAATAGAATGTTGGGAGGGAAGCCACTGTTGAGGCCGACCATGATCAGGTTGGCGAGCTTGATATTGTCGTAGAAGTTCTGGATGTCTAACAGCAAAGTCGCGGACTGAATGCCGAGTGCTGAGGCTGTCTCGTCTAACAAGGCCCTATGTAGAGCGGCTTGGAGAGCTGAGGAGCCTTTGATGGCTGTAGTCCAAAAATCGTCAAGTCCTTGCGTCCAGGCTTCCGACGCGGTAGATCTAATACGAGACCAGAGCCGGGCCATATGTGGAAGCATGCCAAGGACTCGGTCGCCTCCCGCCTTCTTGGCGGCGAGAGCTGCAATGGCGCCTGAAATTTGTAGTGACCAGAAGCCAGCTTGCTCCACTGAATTGAGAATATCTGCATAGGCTTCGACGGCAGGTTCTGGCAATCGATGGAGGTCGCGAGGTCCTAGGGCATCAACTCCATGTGCTTTACTAGGTGGCATGCGGCCGTGGATGCGGTGTACTTGCTCTGTTGTGATGGGCTCGAGAGGTTGAAGAACGGCTGCTGCCTTTGCCTTTGTCAGGGCCTGGAGGATGTCGTCGGAGGTCTCGGTGGCATGCCAGACTTGCTGCCATTGTTGCTTCTTGTTGTCCATGATGACGGTGGGGTCGGCGATGGTCAGGTTGGCCGTGTAGGCCTCGATGTGGCGTACAGGTGCAGGCTTAACATGGGCGTGTAATGCTCCAGGACGGTGCTTCCATTGCTGGGCGAGCCAAGCCCCGTAGGCCCTCTTGGACTTGGAGGCCGAGAGGGCTCTGGAGGCCCAGGTAGCGGTAATAGTGACCAGGTCGTCGGTGTCATCCTTGTCCAGGTGCGGGGCCCAGGCGAGCGCGAACCAGCGGGAGATGGTATCCTCATCCTTCTCGAACTGGAGGTCATGCATGTGGCTGTTGAAGTGGTCGGCGCGCTGCTGGATGATGATGGCCTGCTGCTCCATAAGCGCTGTATGCTTAGGCTTGTCGAAAAGCGCGGCGTAGCGCTTGATGAGGGTGAGCGTAATGGCCCACCATTCCGCACGTGGATCATGTACGTGTACGCGGCCTGGAGCAGCCGCTGTCTTCTTCCAAGATAGCTGGTAGCCCTGGGCACGGCCAGTGTATGCTGCGGTTTCCTTCGGGTCGATCTGGTGGTGGCTGATCATGGTGTTCTCGAGTGCCGAGACCCATTTGGCGTACTTGAGGTTGAGGAGGTCGGCGTCGTGCTCCCAGTGTCGGCACGCGAAGTGCGCGTGCGGCTGCTTGCAAGGTGTGGGCAACGCCTCCTGCCATTGCTTTTGCCACAAGTCCAGCGGGATGGCGTAGGAGATAGGATCCAGCGCTGCGGGCTCGACCTGTGGCTGAAGCTGCGCTGCTGCTTGTTGAAGTTCAGGAGGTAGATCGCGAAGACGAGCTGCTCGAGCTTCAGCTGCTTTACGTTTCTTAATGGCGGTCTTGCTGTTGGGGTCTGGTGGTATCCTGGGCCTGTCCACTGTGGGGAAGGCCTTGGGGGTATCGATAGACTGATACCACCAAGGATCTGCACTGCCTGCTCGAACTTCGAGGCCAACGTGGGTGGCCCACGGTACAGTGGGGCACTGGCGCATGGAAATGGCGTGCTCGATGCCGGTCTTGACCAGTGCGAAATCTAGCGTGAGCCCCTGGCCCTTGTCGCAGGTGGCTGATCCAGGTGCTCGCACAATGGTAGCATTCCATTTGGCCAGCCACTCTGTCGCTGCAAGCTGCTCGGGTGTCATATTCCAGTCCGCCAAAATGATCCAAGGGTCTTTCAGCATGGTAACGAGGGCTCCCAGCGAGAGCAGCTCGTCGTGCACAGCACCCTCGATCTGCCTGTGGGGTTCCAGATATGCAGCAATAACAAC